GTGCTGTCACATATAACCCCAGGGATTTTTTAGTTTTTAGCTTTATTTTGAAGCTTCATACAGCACCTAAGCTATCTAGGGAGGAAGAGGAATATATATTGCATGCATAACACTAGAAAGAGGTTTTGAAGGGTTTGAAGCATAAGGGCTAAGTAGGCCATGATCTTTACTCACAGGTAGAGCCACAAGCTTTGCTCCTTTAGCTGATGCTTCTCTCACCAGTCCACAGGCTCGTTGGAGATTATCTGATTTAACAGCAGATACATGAAGCTGGATAAGAGCGAGGCGGAAGGCTGATGGCAGAAAAGAAAAAATTATTCATCAGAATTCCCCCAGGAAACTCTTCCAAATTTGAATTCAGTAATGAGCATTGAAGAAAACAAATGAGTTAATATAGAAACATATGCACAAACCACTACCAACTCATTCTGCAGCCTATCTCTGACTCTGGAAACAGGGAGTCTTAACACAGGGAGAGCACTGAAACCCAGGATTGCCAATGGAGCCGTGCATGGCCACCACCCTGCAAAGATCACAGAGCTCACGTACCAGCAACACCAGTCCATGTTCTAGGCCAAGGAGCCACGTTACAGGAAGGGAGAGCACAGCCCCTCTTTCCCAGGCTGCTGCACACTGTGGGAGCCCATTTTCTTGTCATCAGCACACTAAAGGACTGGATAATCTCAAAAGCACCAAATAAAGTAATTGTTTGCTTTTATCCCTCAATTCACACCTAGTCTGGGAAATGGCTATAAAACCCAAGAAAGGTTAACATCTTTCCTGATCATTTCTTAGCAAACTGGTTTCTGGCCAAGTTGCAAGTGTTATCAACAGCTTCTACTCCCACTAAGCAGGATATAAATTTGTAGGCTCTTCAAGCAGCCAAGATTTTGCACACTCCTTGGACTTCTTTCCCTTAATCTCTGAGTACCCCAGGTTGTAGGGAACCACACCCTGATCAGGTAGAACTGCTTCCTTTAAAACAAACACAAACCAAGTATCCCAGTTTCATAGCACCTCTCCTATCTGGAAAACCTCCTCATCACACAGTCAAAGATCACAATAAGAAAAAGACAAAGCTGGTAGCGACACAGTCCCTACTGTCAGGGAAACTGAAAAAGCTGATTCAAGTGAAGATGAGAATGTGTCAGGAGCAGTCGAGATACATCTTTTGTCTTGCCTCATCCGGTATTCTGAACAGATGTAACCATAGGTACCAGACTCACCGAGATAATCATACTAGGGATCTGCCAAGAACTTCCCAGTATTTGTGGAACGTATTTTAGTTCAGACAAGTAGGCCACTTAAAGATTTACATTTCAGCATAAAAGTAAAAAATTTTAAAAAAGCACTAGGGAAAAAAAAAATCCATAATGTTTAAAACATCACGAAATGTAATTAAGGTAATTAACATAATTTTCTTATATATGTATATACAATATCATATGCCTCAGTTTTGGAGCTTGGTAAGATGCAAAACTGAAGCTCAGCCACAACAGAACACATGTATTTGTGCCACGGTTTCGTTTACAAACATTCAGATGTGGAAGCAACAGAAACAGAGAAATGTGTAGCAGTGCTGTAGAGAGAGACCTCTGCTCCCAGCCTTGACCAGCTGCCTCAAAAACTTATTTAAAAGCAATTTTCAGGATAAGCCTAAAGCAATGTAGGCCACAACCAGGTAAAAGTGCATCGGAGGTCACATTTGTACCACGACATTACAAAATACGCTTGCTTTTTTTTTTTTTTTTTTTTAAACAGCGAAAGCGAAGCACGCCCGGCTTGTTCGCATTTCTTGAGCTGACGCCTGCAGGGCGAGCGCTGTATCCCGGTCTGTGCCCAGCACAGCGCCAGGGCAGCTCCCTTTTCCCTGCACTACTCCACAGGCTGTGCCAGCGCCCAGGACCGAGGCCTGGCCCGGGCCGGGGACTCCGGGGATGCGCGGGGCACGAAGCGGAGTGCCCCGCGGAGCCTTTGCCGGCGGGACCGCGGGAAGAGAGGGACAGGAAAGGCTCCCACTCACACGCCATGACTCCGCCGGCCGCCCGCATTCCCGGCACCGCCCGGGCGGCGCGGCCCGCGGGGGCTGCCGGGACTCGTAGTGCCGGCCCCGGCCCGAGGAGTGTTCAGAACCGCCCTCACGCCGCCTTTACCCAGCCCGGCTGGTGCCGGGACCCACGGGGTTATTCAGAACCGCCCTCACGCCGCCTTTACCCAGCTCGGCAGCTGCCGGGACCCGCGCTGCGACCGGCGAAGGGCAGGGATGAGGCACCCCCGCCCTGCCCGGCCTGCGCGGGTGGCAGCGAGCGGGCGGCGCTCCGCCGAGCCCGTTCAGAGCTGGCAGCAACAGCGGAGCCCTCACAGCTCCAGCTGTGCCGAGAGCCTCTTTGCCCTGCCGTAGGTCTGCTAAGGGCTCATGCCAAGGGTCCTGTACCAGTTTACAGGTAACTCATTCACCTGGGACATCCCCGTCTTTCTGTACAAGAACAGCATCTCCCAAGGTACAAACACCTCCACAGTGCTCCAGACGTGCTGGGCTCCTCAGTGCTGGGCTCCTCAGTACTAGAAAGACAGGGAGCTCCTGGAGCGGGTGCAGTGGAGGCTACAAAGATGATTTAGAGTCTGGAGTATCTCTCTTATGAGGAGAGACTGTGAGCTGGGCCTGTTTAGTCCAGAGAAGGAAAAACTGAGAAGGGATCTCGTAAGTACACATAAACATCTCAAAGGCATTTGTCAAGAGTGTGGTGCCAGACTAATTTCAGAGGTGCCCAGGGATAGGACAAGGAGCAATGGCCATAAACTAAAACACAGAAAGTTTCACCTCAATATGAGGAGGAACTTCCTTACATTGAGGATGGCAGAGCACTGAACAGGATGCCCAGTGAAGTCTCTCTTTCTGGAGATATTCCAAACCCACCTGGACAAGTTCCTGTGTCACCTGCTCTAGGTGACCCTGCCTTGGCAGGGAACTTAACTGGATGAGCTCCAGAGGTTCTGTCCAACACTGTGAATTCTGTGAAACCAACACACTTAACATGCTTCCTCGGCTTTAAACACCAAGTGCTCCCCTTTACTCAGCACAAAACATTGCTTTCTCATGCACATATTTTCCAGCCTTGGGCTTTTTAGAAGCATGTTTGTAGAATTGCATATTTCTGTTGTGTAGCAGTATTTCTCACACAAGATTATATCTGTAAGCTGAAAGCACATAACGGCAGAGCAGGCAAAAATAAAACGGGTAAATCCAGGGTGATCATTCTCTTACAAACCTTCCCTTTCAGGAAACATGCAGAGAGATAAAGGATGGGAAGTGCATAACCACTGTAAAATACACAACCACAACTGTGTGCAACAATTACAAACCTTCCTTTAACCCAAGAACTATTCAACCTGCCCCATGGAGCAGTAAAGTGAACCCCTCAACCCAATTTGACCAAGCCAGAGGATAGCAGAACAGAGTGCAACAGCCCTTGGCAGGCCTCCCTCCTTTTTATACATGTTCATGGTGGTAGAAAGAGCATACACGATTTTAAAATATTTTTTCCCCCAAACATCACACTTTGCAGGGCTCCAGGTACAAAGAACAGCTGTCTCCCAACTTCTTCCCAAGTAAGAAAAAGAATAAAAAATTAAGTAGTATCATCCCTTCAAGGTGAAAAGCACAGGCCAAAAATCCAGGTTCCCATGGGTCAGAGAGATAAAATGTATTTTTCAAGTTTCCAAACAAAAGTATCTGAAAGCACTAGGTATATCCAGTAGAACAAGTTACATAGTACCACCCTTTTCCTTCCCCAAAGGAAACACGTTCAGTAGACTACGCCTATATTGAAAAAGCTTATTTGACAGTACCTGAAGTTTTGAAACTACAGTTGACATGTAGTTGGAAGGAAAAGATACAACCACAGGTGAGACCCACATGTTAGGGCTAACAGAAAAAGGCAATTTTAAAAATCGCACCTCTGCAATCAACAATATTTTTGGTGGGTAATTTGTGAAGTTCTTTACAAATTCTCATACAAATCAGAATCTAAACGAATTTGTGAGACGAGAGAAGAGCCATCAGTGAGCACAGAAGCACCAACTGTCACTATGACACAAGGAAAGAGCTTCCATATCGCAGGGAAGTTTACTCTAAGACTTTCTTTCCTACTCCAGACCTCATTTCTATCACTCCATCGTAACAACTGTCACCTTATATTCAACAATATAGACAGTGGTGCATGCAGAATAAAATAAGAGCTAACACATCACTAGCAAATAATTTTTAAAAATCCTTGAAGCTAAAAAGGACAGGAAGTAGCATACCAACTTTTTTGATTTTTCTTTTCAAAAAAAGTCGCTGTGGTACTATAATTAGAATTTCTGCTTAGTAATACAAGTTTTATAACAAAAATAGTAACTACAGGTATGTACACCAAAAGGCAAAAGTGGCCCTTATACTGTGGGTAGAGATACACTAGCACCATTGAAATGATTCATAGTTTGGGCTGAGCTTTTTAAGATGAGGTCTGTTGATAACTTGTACATTGCCATAAAATTTACAAATAATTAAGACTCGAAATGGCTTGGATTATGTATCTACAGAGAAGGGATTTAAGAACTGACTTCCCGTTGCATTACTTGCTGTAGATCTCACAGGTCTGCTGTATTTGCTGTCCTCACAGTGAAGCATACAAATTAGGCACATTCCACATTTAATACTCAAATATACCTGCTTAACAAATGACTGTCATTTTCACTTTACCCCCTCCTGACTAGGAGAAATATGTTGTATAATTCTGTCAACGTTTTCATAATAAAAATATGATGCAGAGAAGTCTGGAATTTATGCAGAAACCTTCTCTATAACTTGATTATTTGCTAATTCACTTTTATTTTTCTGTGAATGCTCACCCAGAAGCCCTTACTGAAATACTTACATTAAGAAGTCACTGGCAGTAGCTCCCTATGATCCATAATCAGCTTCTTCCACTCCAAAGACCAAATTCACTTCCATTTACAAACACATTTAGGAAAAACTTTTAACTGATTCTGAGAATTTACACAGCAACTAAATGCCTTCTGACAGAAGTTATGTTCAAATCGTACTGGTTTATTTACAACTGTAGTTTATAAACAGTAGCACAAACATCTTTACATGAAAAAATCTCATTGCTGAAGTAGGCACAGAGTCAGAGACTCCTGAGCATATTTTCAGAAGGGATTAGGAAGAGGAAAATGTAATACAACAGCTGCTGGGCAAAACTATAAATACATGAGCATTGGCCCAGGTGCAATTTCATGCAAATATTTTCAACAGTTCAAGTTCTATTGGTGTTTACTCAAAGATACTAAGAAGAAAAAAAAGTAATTAGTTCCAGAATTAAGGTGCCCTAGCTTGATTCCTAGTAAGATAACTTAGAATAAATGTTTTCTATAAAGGTCAGTTTAACTTATTTCACCTTCTGATGAAGTACCAAATCATAGGCTTTGATTCAAGTACTCAGAAGATTTCATGCAGCAAAACTAATCCCCATTGCCTTTCACAGTTTTTGGTGATTTCCCATCAGTCTACAAAGATGCTCTGCCTTGTCCATAAGAATATTCTTGCACTGAGCTTTGAAAAAGAGAACCATTCTTCAACAAATGGAAAGCTTATGATGAACAATCATATAGTTGTCATCTCCCAAACATTTACTAATTTAGAAGTTGTTACTCAAAATAATATAAACGAATACTTGAATCAATGAAGGCAACCAGTTAAGAATACATTTATCACAGGTATACACACAGCACTGGAATTTCTTCCCTAGTTTTGTGTGCATTCATCTTCTTGCTGAACACACTTTTGGTCAGCATGTACTTGCTTTTGTGCTGAACTGAAAGGTTTTAAACATCAAATCTAAATTTCTTAGACATTTTGTTTCTGATGAGCAAGACAACTTGTTTTCAATGGTCATACTCTGTCAAGAAACATTCATTTCACTGCATACACTCATCTTTACATGGGAAACAGCTTCAACATATGAAATGTAAAATTTTGCCTAATTAAAAAAAAATCTCAATCCTGTAGTAATAGCTACAGTTAATTGAGTATTTAAAAATAATCCTTACTACCAATTCCAATCATTTCGCCTAGTAGCTGGTAAGACTTTAAAAACCTATAATTTTATAAATTTCTTGCATTTTTTCCATTTATCTGAAGCTCAAATTGGACGTAACCATTTCTAATGCGAAAACAGTGTTTTTGAGATTTGTATTTGCTCTGCTGAAAACCCTAAATTTTTAATTAGTCTTTGATACTATGTGGTGGGCAAAATCAAATTTCTAGACTGTAGGCAATGGAGACATTTTATTTGGAAGGTATAATAATTTAAAAACTAGAGTGTTTTCAACTGCTTCTCTGTATCTTACAGTCCTTCATTCCTTTAACACACTTAATGGGAACCCACCTGCATCTGCTCTTGCAAAGCTGCAGACCACTCCCATTAAGACTGCATTAAAATGAAACAAACTGACCTTTATAATAAACACTTCTCCAAAACAGAAAAAAATATAATTAAAAAGACCAACCAAACAAAAATCCTGTTCAGAAATGGATAATAATTTACCCTATCTTAAGCCTGCTATTCAGGCACTCCCACCAGCAAACAGAAAAATTCTCTTAAGTTAGTATTCAGTTGGGAAACAGTCAGCTTGTGTCCACGTACAGTATCTTGGTTGCTTCTTCTTTATAAACGGGTCTCTACAAAGTCTTTAGTTATTAACTCTCCAAGGCATCCAATACTTTCATGATCTGTTGTTTTATGGCTTTGGTAGCATCACCTGCATTTGGAATCAAATACCTTAAAAAAATTAGAAAAAGCCATCATTAATTCACTATAAAATTTTTGAAATGAGAATTCTTTTCATTCTTCCTCTAAGAGGAAAGGAAGAGGGGAATATATTAAAATGAAAAACATACTAGGAGAATAACATTTAATTCCTGATTATATTATGAAACTTATTCTTTGTGAACTTAGAACTGTTGAGGAGTACTTCACAGGCCATATTGGAAAGAAGAATTGACAATGGGAGAGGTCAGGCCATTCAAGATCTCTACAGATAGCACTGTCTGACTGAAGCATAGCAGTCCTTGCTTGGTTTTTGTGGTTTTAATTTTTTAAATTCCTTTAGATAGCTCTAGATCAATCTGCTCCAGTCCACAAGGTGGTGATGAAGTAATTCAATAAGCAGTAAAGTTCTCTACAAAATTTTAATTTATCTTTGTTGTCCAACTACAGCCTAAGGAACCAGCAGGCACAGAATGTCCCTAGTTAGGGAGGAAACTAATCTCCTCTCTCTTGTAAAAACAGAACATCCACTGCACACAGTTCTCTCCAAGGAAGAGGATGAGAAAACACCCAGCTGGTATCAGAAACCTTCTTAAAACAGTGCCAAGAAACAGCAGGCTACACAAGTGGAAGAAAGTCTGATACACAGCTCCATCTCACCCCTTCCACCTCTTAAGCATGCAAATAGTGAGCATGGCAACATGTAGCTTCCAGGAATCAGGTTTCAGGGAATCAGAGTTTTGAGTTTAGGTTTCTGGAGTCTTTGCACAATGCACAGAGAATATGAGTCAGATGTAAAAAAAAATTATTCCACAGAAGAATGACCATTCTCATAAATCCCACTCTTCACCAATCTGCATTTGTGCTGCAGAGAACTGTCCACCTCATTTTTATTTAAGACCGATTACAAAAAGAAAACACTTGCAAACATCCCATCCCCAACAACTGTAGTTGCAGGCAGCTCCTCTCTTCTGAGTCTCATAAACACTCATCATTTTGCTGGCAAATCTTTTTTCCTAGCTCATATCTGAATTATGTATTCCTAAATAAAAACTATTGCTTTTGAACTCAGTTCTGGCAATTTCAGCATACCCCTGATTTCCAGTGTAGAGCATCCTGGATATCATTACCACTTCCACCTCTGCTACTGAGATGGCTTACCTTTCAACTGCCAGAATTTCTATGCCTGAAGTACTGCTATTTCCATACTTAAAGGTGATCAGTTCTGGGTGTTTCTTCTTGGATGTGATTTTGACTACAGAGTTGAGTGCCTGTCGAGACTGTATGTAAGCCAGTCCCTTTCGTGATGGAATCTCCCTCAAACAGTACATATGAGTTGCTGTTACTAGGAGATGACTTGAAGGAAAAGAAAAAATACAGATTAGTTTTGCTAATGAATTAAATGTCAGCTATTTAGAAAGTTAAATTCTATGACTAAACTACATGGAGAGAGCTAGATAATAATGCTACAAAATCTAAGAAACAGTTTTAATATTTTCATTATATCTAATTAAGAAAGCTCTATGAAATAGTTCAGATTTTCCTTGAGTGCTGTAGCATGGCCATTTCTGAATACAAGCATGGCATCGCCTCCAGCATTACTGGTACACACAGCATGCCACGTACCTCCCGCCCCTCTCTCCCCCTTCAATTTTTCTCACTATCTTGTTCTTCAAAGCAAATCTTCACACCAGGTTTAATACAGAATTACCATTCTATAACACTACAAATACAATGTTGAGGGTTGGGTTTTCTCGCCTTTTCTCACCTTGTTACTTGTGGAATTTTTTCCCATTGAGTTGCTAAGAGGCACTAATGGTTGGGTGCTTGAGACAGCGGGGAGGGGGAACTCCTCTGGTTTTTGGGAGTTTCTCCCGGAGGGACAGAGATCCCGCGAGATTAGAAGCAGGTAAAGGACGGGGCTGGGGCAGCGGCGGATCTTTTTGCTCTCTTTGGCATGGGAGAAGGACGGCCATGCTGTCGCTTACTGAGGGGAGAATTCACGAGCACCTGGAGGGCCTATCTATCCCCATCTGCTCGGGCACCCGGGAATCCTGAGCCCACCTCTCCCTGCCCTGCTCGGAGGCAGGCCGCGCTGCCCGCCGCTCCTTCGGCACAGCTCTGGGCTTCTCCACGCTGTAGCCCCGCACCGCCTGCCCTGCCGGGACGTCCTGCAGTTCCAACTACTGATACGGAGTTCCTGATACATCTCGCCCACCAGACTGAGAGCTTTTGCTCATTCCTGCAGTTCCACCTTAGTGCTTTTTTCAGAGTCCTGCAGGGGCACCGGATCGACTGCCTCAGGGCTTTGTGAAGCAAAGCTTCTCCTCCCTCCTTTTCGGTCTGGGCCGAAAAGGCTGTCACGGGGTCCTTGGTTCTGTTAAGAACCAGTAAAGAACTGTTTTTCCTATCCTCCTGTGAGCCCTTTAATTTCAAAATTATAATAATTCGGAGGGAGGGGGTTTACATTCTCCATTCCACAGGAGGGTCCTGCCTTCCCTAGCAAACACCTGTCTTTCAAACGAAGACATACAAGAATGCAAATAGAGTAACACTTTGTTCTAGGTTGCTTCACATTTTCATATATAATAGTTTAATATAAAGAATAAGTTAATGAACAACACTTTTTTTCATAATGTATATCAAGATGGATGTTTTCATTGAACTTAGTATTAATTTCAGTACCTGGGAAACATATGTCCATTTTCTTTTACTTCATTACATGGAAAGTTATACTTCACATCAGGTTTATTTATCCAGGTTTGGATGTTGACGACCTCTTTTCGATCATCATCCGACATTGAGGAGCTATCAATTTCATCTGTTTTGAAAGGAGGGGGTAAAAACGTTAAAAAAAAAGAAAAAGAAAAAAAAGAAAAAAGAAAAAAGAAAAGAAAAAAAAGAAAGAAGAAAAAAAGAAAAAAGAAAAGAAAGAAGAAAAAAAAGAAACAAGAAAAAAGAAAAGAAAAAAAGAAGAAAAAAAGAAAAAAGAAACAAGAAAAAAGAAAAAAAGAAAAGAAAAAAGAAAAGAAAAAGAACAAATAAAAAGAAAAAAGAAAAAAAGAAAAAAGAAAAAAGAAAAGAAGAAGAAAAGAAGAAAAGAAAAAAGAAAAGAAAAGAAGAAAAGAAGAAAAGAAGAAAAGAAGAAAAGAAGAAAAGAAGAAAAGAAAAAGAGGAAGTATTTTCATACCCATCAGCCAACTTTTCAATTCACTTAAACCCACTGTAGCTACACTGATTCAAAGCAATGTCTACCTGACCATACAGAATTATTGAGAAAAGAATGAAAAAGGCATATCTGATATTTCTCTCTTAATTTTCTCTCAACAAATAAGTATTTTTAGGTCAAGGGGTATCTTAGGCTGGTCTGATTTGTCCATTCAATAACGTTTTATGGATTTCTTTTACATGGACTTGTCCAGGCTTTCCTTGAAGCCCTATAAATCCTTTGCATTTAAACTATCAATATCCTTTGACAAGGAGTACCAAAACCAAGCCAGCTACAGTCCAGAAGAGTCTCTTCTTGTGGCTTCTAGTTTCTTTTACAAGAAGAAATGAACATCTGTTGATCCCTTTCGAGGCCAGGCATTATTTCTGTGGAACACTTTTCCTCCCTTAAAATGCCTCTTTCACATAACTAAACTTCTAACATTCAGCTGTGCCTTTTATGCAAGTGATATCACATCTTTCCTCACCCTTCTTATTCCTCTCTGAACCTTCTCCTGTTCAAACATTGTTTCTGACACCAAGGGCAGAAGACACACAGTATTTAATGAGTGGGTGAATCACAGATTTCTTCTTGCTTTTCTGAGTGCTAATGACTGTTTACTTATGAACCCACTGCTGCTGGACACAACCAAATCATTCTACCACCACTGGATCTGAAACTACAAGTGGCTGTGGATTTTTAAATGTCTTTCTTGCATTAAATTCATACTGAATTTCATGTGCCATTTTATTACCCAGACATTCAGATGAGCAAAAGACTCAGTCTGACCCTACTACCTCAAATAACCTTGGATCATTAGCAAAAATTGTTGTCTTTGGCTCCACATTCTTTTTTAAGGACATTTAAGAACACATTCCAACCTCAATTTTTCAGCACAGACCTCTGTGAAACACCCAAAACTCCTGCACGTGTTATTACATAGTTGTCAAACACTGCTTATATGTCTGAAGATGGTGATTATGTTTACATAGTAATTTTGGTGCTACATTAGAAGAATTTAAGCAATCTAGTTATCTAACACTATCAACTACATTAACTCCATACAAACCACTCCCAGAAATAACACAAGACAGCTCTTTAAAGAGCCTTTTTCAAATTCAGTTTCCTATACTTTGTTAAACTATTTACTTCAATGCAATTCTGAATTTGAAACACATTTTGGAAAACGTTTTCACTGAAAAATACATTATGGAATTGAAGTAAATGGAAAAATAATCCACCTTCATGTCAGAATCACAGAAGGATAGAAGGGCTCTCTGGAGATCATCTGGTCCAACCCCCCTGCTCAAGCAGATCCACCTAGAGTAGGCTGCAATAATTACAGCTGACTGCAATTACTTACTACAGAAAAACCCCAAACACTAAAACCAATTATACAGAAACAGGTTCACTTTTTGCATTCTTCTGTATCAAGATTATATATATTTCACTTCCTATCTCTTGGCTTTGCTTACTCAAATTGCTCTGATTCTGCTTGTTTACCAAGTGCAAGAGTGCTTTTAAAAGCAAATATTAAATAGAACTTAGTAAACAAGCATTACTGAAAACATGTTCTAGACAATCTGTCTTGGAGGAGCTGGTTTTCTGAAACTACAGAGACTTTGCTAAACACTACTATGGATGCTCAAAGGACAGTGCAACCTTAATTACATGGCATTTGGAGAAAAATCTTAGCATTAAAGCTTCCACCTGATAATTTCACTTTGCTCCTTCAAAATTTTAATTGCAGATGATGATCAACCGATTGTCATCCATGTTATTTAAAGCTGTGACTCTCATTAATCTTCCTGAATTGTTTCTTTTGCATGTCAAAGATTCTCAGACTAGTTACTTGTTTCTCCCATGGAAGACAAATATGCCTTTTGGCCACAGAAGAGTTATTTGTGAGACGATGACTGGGAGTGGGCTAAAACTACCAGAGCAAAACCAAGGCAGCAGTAGTTCTGCAACATTTTAATGTTAGAACTGCTCCCAAAAAAAAACCCCTCCAAACAAACTTCTTTGAAATGTGTGGTGCTCCAGTTTTGCCTGCAGTTTTTCAACTAGATAAAAGATCTAAATGAAAATGGCATGCTTTTTCCCTACCGCAATCTGCATGCATTCCAAGACATCAATCAATTATTAATAGATTCACTGCTGAAAAGCAAAGTCTGAAACACTGGAGAAGTGTGCACATATTAGCTATTTAAAGTCTAGCTCCAACCATATTTCAGAAGTTCAGATCATTACACTAACTGACAATACCAGACATTTAAACTGAGATATATCAGCCAAACTAGGTCTTTCATATTTTGCTTACTGTTAAAGGCACAATTGCCAGGTTACACATACAAGACCAGTATAAAAAAAGATCTTTACAACACAAATAACAAGTGAAGACAAAATATCTACTATATCTGCTTATTTCAATTTTTTCCTGTTGGCTGTATGGTGCCTACCACAAATTATTTTTTATTTAATCTGCTACTATGTATTTGAAGAGGGCTGGTCCTAGGCATTACCATAACACACATGAACAACAATAATAGACAAGTATATTGCAAGACAAAGATGTAAGAGACACTTCGATTTGGTCCAACTTAATAATTTTGTCTAAATAAGCTAATCTAGGTAAGAGAAGAATCTTCTACTGTACCAGTATCATATTCTTCTTCATCTCCGATGCTGAATACTGGCTTCACACCACGGTAGGGTTTTCCTACTCTGTCACTGCTGCTGACATGTCTGCTGGCAATGAAAAGGGAGGTGAGGGCATGGGACAGGAGAAGTAACTTTGAGACTGATAGTCTGAGTTCCACAGTAACATATTAGCAAAATGTAAACACAGCTGTACAACAGAGAAGGACAAGAGAATTTCATGAAGCTGTCTGCAAGGAAGACGTGAGTGACCCATCAAGCAACTTGGTTAGTGAAAGCACATAGTTCAGTCGCTTTGTGAGGCTGACTGTTGTAACAAAGAAAAGTGGAAATAAATGCTGGTTTGTTTTAAAAAATCTCCAACTTCTGCTCACCTTCGCAAATGGCAACATACATTAGAGATCTGCAAACTGACAACATGCTAAGTTTCCAGCATGAAACTAAAACATATCTGGAGAGTCAGGGCAACTTCACAAGGATGTCAAATTCAGATGAAGCAAAAAACAAAGACTGTTAACTAACATGTCTGGCAGTTAATTTTTCTGGTTAATTCCTCAAAAGGTAACAAAATGCCTTAAAAACTACACAGTGGTTTTTATAAACTATTGCAACTATTTAAACTATTACAAACCTCCACTGTAGTCTAAGCCCTGACTTCTTGTTCATTACTTCCAGTTGGAGTCAAATCTTGAAATATTTGCTCAAACAATTCCTACTGCTACAATCCAAGCAACCCTTGTGATATTGATGTCAAAAATAACATTTAAATTGTTTCTACAGATCATATCAAATGACACAAACACACACAATTGAATATTAATGTGTGACAGTAAGATTGCAAATTCTCAGATATTTTGAAGCTCCAGCTCAGAATGCTGCAATTACGTGGTCACAGCTGAATTAAAAGCTCTTGCCCTCAACTGTTGAGAATACCTGAAAGATATGACAAAAACCTGGAAGTTCAGAAAGCAACAATACAGCAAATTTCTGAAAATACCGAACAGTTCATAATTTCAGCCCTTCGAACTGGCAATGCTTAGCAATTTTAAAAAACTCAAAACCAAAAAAACCTGCCTGTCCCTTTCCTCCAGTTCAATAACCTCCTTCCCCACACTGTGCGTTTATGTTTCCTACCAACTCTAAGCCTTGGTTCCTGTTTTAAGTACATTCACAAACCAGTTTAAATGCTATTGTAGAACCAAGCTGGACAGGAAACAGGTTGAGTAACAGGTAAATTGATGCTACTACTTAGGCATACCTCAAAGTAGAATTGAAAGCCAGAAAAGAAAACAACATTATCTATGGGTAAAATTTACTAATATATAAAAAAAGGAAAAGTTAAAAAACAAACAAACAGAAATGTGGTCTACAACGGCACAAAAATAAACACACAATAACACGCTCATTAGTGTTTAAGACAATAAGCATCAATGACACTGACAATTCAAGAGGGCAGTGCTTCAATATGGTGGCTTTTGAAAATATGCTTTAGTAATACATAACCAATTGAGTAGTAAGCAGCAGATGAAAATAATGTCAAATTGAATTATACAGAGAGGATCTAAGAGCAGATCTCACTGGTGTTTAAAAACTGAAGTTAGTCAGGACAAGAGAGTAAACGAGAGTAAAAAGTTACTTTCTAAAAGCCTGGTAACATCTTAAACTAGAAATTGATTCCCTTTAACCTGTTTACATGGAAGGCCATCATTACAGGGTTACAAATTGAATGCAATGTCCTTTGGTGGCAAAGCTGCCAAATGACACATCCTGGTGATAAAAACAAAGTAGATCTAATTGAATAGATACAGAAAAAATGCCATTCTAGGTTTTTAAGAACTGTAATTTTAAGAACATGCTCTATGGATCTACAGTTTGAGCTAATTTATTATTGCATCTACCCAATGAAAGATGTGCAATAGGAGTGAAAGGAATAAACAAAATAACCAAGTCAACTCAGTAAGTAAGTAAACCAAGTAACAAAGTAAAATCTCAGTATATCAAAAATTCTTGGTTACAAATACAGATTTATGCATCTCTGAGTTATTAAAGAGTCACCATATATTTAATTTGGTATTTTAACATTTTCTTACCACATTCTAGAAACAGATCAACAAAATGTGGGGTACAATCCCCATGATTTTTAGTATTTCTAAATTAACAAAACATACTATATGCATTGGGCCATCCCCATTGTTCTCCTTTTACAGAATACTGGTTAACATTACTATTGATTTTGGTCATATAAACAACACCTTTCTGTGATGCTTTTGGGTGAATCCCAGCTCAAATTATGTGCAAACTACTTGAAAGAAAAATTAGTCAAAAATCCTTGAAAACTCACTTTTAAGATTTTCAGTAATTCATCCAGCATTAATCTTCATGCTCTTCAGCGTAAGAAGGTTAAAAGCTAAAGAACTCCTAAAGTATAACCAAAGTTCCAAAGTAATTATGCATGAGTTGCTCTTCATTTATCAGAAATAATGTTATAAAAACTCCATTCGCAATTTTTATTTCTGAAATAATTATAAGACACTATGTGAGACAAATGTGAAGGGCCTCCACATTTGCATGAAAGGCAGTAGTTATGTGGCCAAGATGAGGTAGAACTGCAAAGCATATTTACTTATCATTTTTCTTTTCCCAGAAATGAGCATGTCTGTTTCTTTCAGCATGTTCTATCACCATATGATAAGAAGCGTAAAAACTCTAGACTTCCAGGCAGAATTTCCACATAGGTTCCCTGTCATATCTAAGTTCTGATGATGTTTTATGAAAAGTTTACTTTTCATACTTATAGTCTCTCTTGGTAAAATCTTAAGCCATAATTTGTTCAGCAATTGCTCCTGGTGTCTTCTACTAGTACAGGTTACTAATAAAATGTATATAGGAAATGACAGGCTAAAAAAAAATTCCATAAAAAGCAAAGTAAAGAACAGAAATAACAAGGCAGAAACTAAGAGAAGAAAGCACTGCCAATACATTCTTTTCTTCCTTTAGTCTCTTGACCACTGCTTGTAAAAAGCAATAGTTTTAATACATTCCAAAAAATTAAATTAATATCAAAATGTGCAAGCAATCTTGTCAGTGTAACCAATGCTTACAAACATTGTGATGCCATGCTAAATACAAGAAAGGTGGTTTTAGTCAGACTGCTTAATTATCAAGCTTACCGCTCCAGGCTTGCTCTGTCTGGCCAGGAAATATTGAAAGGTATTCTACAGTACATTGGGGCAGAGGACAGAACAAAAGGATTAAAAAAATGTAAAGGAAAAACCTACATAAATAACTGAAATTCTCTATATTGGCAATGTATCTTCTTCAAGGAGGATGCTTGTAAATAAAAACAAGGTTTCATGAAAGCTGGTAAAGAAATACATGAAGATAAAGAAATATTTGCAAAAAAATCTACTAAAAGATGCATTTCCTATGCTACCTATGGCTCACATGTAAGCATTATTTTATTTCCCAGAATGGCTTGGGTTGGAAGGGACCCTAAAGACCATTTTGTTCCATACCCTGCCCTGCACAGGGACACCACTTTGCTTAAAGCTCCATCCAGTCTGGCCTCAAGCATTGCCAGGGATGGGGCATCCACAGCTTCCCTGGGCAACCTGTGCCAGCGCCTCACCACCCTCACTGTAAAGAATTTCTTCCTAATATCTAATGTAAACCTCACCTCTTTCAGTTTAAATCTTCACATTCATTCAGTTTAATTCTTCACACAGCAAAAGCTACTACCAAATACTTAAATTCTATTTAAGAATTTTTTGCCTCTAATTGTGAAAGAAAAGTAATAATAGTAATTTAGAAAAACATTTTCCAACACAAAAAGAAGGAATAGTCTGAGGTACCAGACTATTAAAAGCTACTCTTCATTTGGCATATATTTTAAATCCTGCTATCAACAAATGCTAGGTGTCTGAGATTCCTGAATACTAGTGTCTTGGTATTCAACATACACCTTCAAAGGCTGGAATTTAAAGAACTACAACAGGCATTTCATTTAAAACATTGACAGACAAAAGCTGTTATTCCTGTATTCAGTTAAGATAAGTATTTGGAATTATGACTTCCAAATTTGAAAGTGTTCTTCAAACTACTTGCACATTCTCATTCCTTGCTGTATCTGAAGACACAAAAACCAAACAAGGGTGGATTCTGAGTTTGAAAAGCAGCTTTACATGAGGACTTGGGGAAAAAAAAATAAAAAATCAAGATCTTCAAAAGAGGTAAACTCAATCCGGCAAGATACAGCAGTGAAAAAAACCAAAACAGAACAACACCAAACAACGAAAAAAGCCTATCCAGAATCCCACTGTCATTAATCTATTTCATTAGAATCAAGATGGGGAAGAAGTAAAATACAAGTGAAATCATTGTTCACTTTTAGACTGAACACAAAATTGACACATTGTAAGAAGTGAAGTTCAATGACAAATTCTAGATAAACATTAAAGGCAACAGGGGCCCACATTGGCCTTGCAATACTAAAGAACACAGTAGGCTCCTTGGGTCATGATGAAATTGTGAGGAGGGCAGGGGTAGAAAATTAAAAAACTGAATATGGAAGACAACTTTTTCCTAATTAGTCCAGTTTTCCCACTTACAAAACAGCCACATGAACTAGGAAGTCACTTCTCCCAGCTAATGCACAGTGAGATATAAACGACGCACCTGTCCACTGGAGTAGAAGTATTTTCAATAAAACTGATAACTTTCTCTTTCACATTCACAGATTTAGTCTTCAAAGCAACCGTCATTTTATTCACTAGGGACTTCACTCCTTTTCCATCACCTGAACCGTTAGGAGAATCACCCTGTAAAAGTAACTCCTCTCAGCATCAATCATATAAAAGTATGTTATTTCATCTCAATGAATTTATCAAAAAGGAAACAGACTACGAAACAGCAATTCACATTTATTTTTTGGTACTCAGTAGAGCCTTAATTACACAACTGAGTATTTCTTTGGAGGTCTATAAAATAACAGCAATGATATGTGACTGAGGAAAATATCATCCCATAAAGCAAGCTTGACAAACTATATTACTGAGCAGTCTGCTATGGACATCTAGACAAAGGAATACTATTAGTGATACATTGCATCTAAATTAAAAGCTAAATTCTACATATAATAGATTAGCTGTAGAAAAAAAACCATGATTTTGAGCTTTGCCACGAAATTGTATGCCACTTTATAGTAACTTATTCCCAGAGTGAGTAAGAGCTAGGGAAAGAGCTGTCTATTACATGTATTCTGCTGGAGAATGACTACAGCAAGTTCTTACCTACAAACTCTTCCCCTCAAGAGGATAAAAATGTTTACACCACCTCTGACTAGACTGCGATCATAGTTTGAAATTAAACACACAGGTGAAAACAGTCATGACTTGCAATAATGTATTTTATGGAATAGAATGAGGAATGTGAAGAAAAGATTCGCTACACCCAGGGCTCCCATCCCACTCTAACACTTAGACTAAAATCTCACTTACATCAACAGAGTTTATGCTATTTCTTGAGCCTGAGGTACTTGCAATCCAGTGGCCATATCCATTTTCTGGTCCTTCCACATTGATATCTGCTAAGTGCTGTTGGAGGGCTGTTAAAAGGCCATCGAAAACATTCAGAATTACACTGGACATTTACTGTTGATGAAAACATTGTATATACCCGAGACTAATCAGTAATAATTTTTTACCCACAATTCAATAAAATAGATAAATTCAGCGATCACTCTAACAATCCCCAGCTTTTCTTTCAGTAGTAAAAAGATATTAAGATAATCTAATTATCGAATGCCTATTTATATACCTAATAGACAAATTATTTTAGTAAACATTTAGAATACTGCAGCAATCAAAAATAAACCACTGCTTTGATTTTGAAGACAGCTCTTACAACACCACACATATTGATTAATAATTCCTCTATTGTCTTATTGTAGCACAGATATCTCCACTATTGTAGAGCCTGATTATTTCCAGCAGCATCAACTGCAGAATAATGAACTCCTGATTTAAGAAATCATAACAGCAATTAATAGTAATTTTGAAGTTTAGTTTATGAAGCACCTTCATATGAATCTGCAATCTACAGTGGCTAAAACATTAAGAATGACAAGTTAGAAGAGGAAATTTCCCCAATTCCTGCATTAATTTGTCATCATTCAGAAATTTGCGAAAGCCTTAAGAGTTAACAACAAATGTGTAAGTGCATAATGTTTACTCACACAAAACAAAAACCTGACAAATGAGACCTAGTTGCTATTATTTTAGATGGTTTTTAGCAAAAGCCTCAAAAATACCAACAGTGTTAAGATAGCAAGATTTTTCAAGTCAAAGTTGATTATTAATAAGCTTACCCATAAAGCCTCCTTTGGCAATGCTTACGTACTCCTTATTTTTCTGCAACAGAAAAGATAATTCTGATCAGAGCAAAAACCTGTGGAATGAATTTAACTCCTGTTTCATTACCCTACTTGCCAGTTTGTTTACTAGAAACTGTAAACTCAAGTAATGTAAAAACCAGTTCAGATTTTAAGAAGAAAATGTTTTGCCATTTACCATCAATGACACATGCAAACACCCTTTACCCCAGCTGTTAAATCAATGGCAATTTAATTGCCATCAATGTACCTGTAAGAAATGTGCTAACACCATGTTCATATACATATCTTCTTCTTCCCTGCCACTTCCCATGAAGCAGAGATGCTCCCCACCAGCTATGGAGCCAGACTCAATGGATTGTTTTTGTGCTTCTAACAGGGATTTTACAGACTGTGCAAATTCTGATGGATTTTGAAGCATCTGTGGAATGAACAAACAAAAAATGCTATTTGACACCAAGATACTGTAATATGAGTTGTGAAAGGAGACAAGCTTTGAGAATGGTTACAGTTTGTTGAGCACAAGGAAGGCAACACCAGCACTGTGCAAGTCACACACACACACAGAATCTGACCGAGACCTCACGTAACATAAAGAACACCGTGAATGGTCCTTTACTTCCTCACCCCACTTGCTCTCCCCAGGAAAGAAATACAGATAACATTCGTTAGTTTTTTTCTGAAGGCATCAAGTAATAGTGCGACAAGTCTTTGCAACTTTCATGTTGCATTAATTTGGTAATACAGCAGTGGGACTGGTTTCCATATTTACACATGCTTGGGCACAATACATTCAAACTTTGGAGATTTGAAACCCTTTAAATTACCTAGAATTTCTAGATGCCAGTAAAGTCTTCCTCTTGTTGTCTCCCCACTAAGCTTTTTCACATTTACTTATCAAGAATTGGGAAAAGAAATTACAATTGAGAGTACAAGGAGGTATCTGTGATTCTTTGTACTTTCAAAAAATTAAGGCTGAGAGACATGTAAAGACATGAGTTCTGTATGAAAGAGATGGAAAAACAAGGAATTTCTCAATACAGCTAAAATTTTAACCAACGTTTGTGGGGAAGGTATTTATTTAAACTTGTAAGGGAATTTTGACCTGTAACTGGATTGAGGGGGCAGGGAGGGGCCAGAGGGATTCTCATAATCTTGTCTGTACAGTGGATTAAATTATGAAAGACAAAGTCACAAGTACACAACCTAGTCATCAGTAAGTAAGGCTGAATTTTAACTGGGGTTTTCCTAGAGATAAAGGCTGCTGCTCTATTACACAGGTCCTAAATCTCACTACTTCCTCTAACTATAAATGAGATGGATTCCAAAGTGTTTTCTTTCCCCATTGTCTCTCCTTACAATAATTTTTGCGTATTTTGCATACAGGAATATAAAATGCACTGAAATCCCATTAATGACTTCTCATCACAAATATTTTTCCCTATAACATTTTCCTAGCATTGAACTTTTAAAAACAAGGATGAACCTGGTGACATTCATCCACCGTGGTTCATGAAGGACCATTAATTCCCATATACAATTTAAATACATATGAACCGATCAAATCTAACTTAAGACTTCTTTTCATGGACTCCTTCTTCATATACTATCAACTATTTGTACTACTTAATAATTTTAAATGCTTATTTCTTCACTGAATATGACATTCAATTAAGGCCAGCTGAACAGCCACATAGGACAGGGAACGTTTTTTCCTAAATGATTTTCAATCTAGTTTAAAAGATCTAAAGATCTATATAAAAAAGATCGATATATAAAAAAAATCTCAATCAAAGAATCATTTGAGTCATTGAGTCCAACCACCAACCTCACACTGCCAATTCTCCACTGCTAAGCCACGTCCCCACATGCCACATCTACAAGTAATAAATACCTCCAGGGATGGTGACTCAACCCCTTCCCTGGCAGCCTTCTCTGTCCCTTCCCTGGGCAGCCTGTTCTAATGCTTGACAACTCTTTTGGGGAAGGAATTTTTCCTAACATCCAACTGCAACTTCCCCGTGTGCAACATGGAGCCACTTCCTCTTGTCCTACTGCTCAGGAGAAGAGACTGACACCCATCTTGCTACAACCTCCTTCAGATAGTTATAGAAAGCACTAAGGTCACCCTTCAGCCTCCTTTTCTCTTCTATGTATTTATATTTAATATTATATTTACATATGCGCATGTAATACTGAATAATGCATCATTTTAATTAGAGAGGTAAAGATATTAGATGCAGGACCGAACTTAACTAAGGTATAAAAGTCTTTTATGGTGTATATCCAAATAAATAATTCCATACAGCTTCCATAGACTGCTTAAAGTAAAACAGTTGAGGGCTAATCCAAAAGTGATGAATAGACTACTGAAATGGAAGTGATTTTGGGAGGAAAAAAGGGCAGAAAAATATGACTGAATGTTCAATTAGGAATTCATAATCAAATAGAAAGTACTTTATTGAAGTTACTCATCCATAGCAGATCTCAGTGCCAAAATGAATGCACTTTCTCTTTCATATTGTATAGCAAATATTTTAGAGAAGCAACCAAATCCTTTTCAAGATTTATGCCTGGTAAAAGCAGACTGTAATAAGACTGGCTAAGGCAAAAAAAGAGACAAAGAAAAAAGTCTTCCTTTTTAACATTAATTACACCTTTCACTGGAAAATAGGATGCTAAAAAGAGATTTCTCCTCCAAGCACTGTATAGTCTGTATGGGTTTTCATTCCTAACCAAAGAACAGGAAGTCTGGAATCCCAAATTCTAGTATCATTAAGGACTAAACTTCTCAGTAAAATGATGGTTTTACCATCTCCTTTAGAGAAGCTAATTCTTGAAATCTTATCATCACATAGCTAGACACCGCAGTCCACAGACTAGAGACTAAATTAAGGATACTTTATTTTTCAAGGCAGGCATTTCTCTCCCCTTCTATCTCAGTTAGGAGTCAAATACCAGTAAAGAAACAGAAAGCATACAAACCAAATCTGAGTCTAAATGAAATGCTGTTGATAAATGCCCAGCATTGTATTGCTCTGCAGGACGACAATCCACCACAAAGAATCTCACTCCTTCCTGAAAGAGAATTTTTTAAATTTTAAGATTGCATAATTATTGGCAGAATTAAATTACATTCTAATACTAGTCCAATACTACAGGAACTGCTCAGAGGGGCTAAGAGCTATTAAAAAATATCTTACTTCATTTGATTAATATGAACTTTGTGTACAGTTACCAGACCACCAGTAGTATTTTAGTATTAGCTTTCCATTAGAACATCAGCTTGTGCATGGGAAAGAATCATCCAAGTGCAATTATATAATTTCTGCTGAGAGAAAACGCAGTGGGTATGAGACAAACCAAGAGTCCACTACTAATGAACACAGCACATAAGGATGTGTTTATATCCCACCAGCTTGGACAGGATATAAACAGATGCTTAACTTTATTTGGATGAGGAGAAAATCCAAACTATGCATGACAAAACTGGGGCCTGGAAACTGCTACAAGAAGTGAGTAGTCAATAAGAAACACTAACTACATTAACTACTAACTACATTATCATTCATATATGGGTTTTAAATATTTCTAGAGAAGTCCTGCATTTATGTCTCCAATCAACTTCTACTGAAACAGGTTTAATCAATTTTCCTTTTTTCATTTAAACTTTTCATTGACAAAAGACATAGTCCTTAATAGCGTTCTTCTCAAAGGTACTGAGTAGTGAGTTTTAAATTTTCTTCTACAGTAGCTACATTTGGAAAGGAATTCAAGTTAATGAGATACTACTTTCAGTTCACACTCCCCAAATGCAAATCAGCTCTCTTAAGCTCCCCTATGCCCGTTGCTACAGCACAAGTACATTGAAGACAGCAGATCATTTACAAGAGAGAAAACTTCAAGACAAAAATATTTTTCCTGAAATAGCAAATACTCATTTGTGCTGTTAGCATTTAAAACTAATGGTTAGTGATTAATTCTTTTCCTTTTCTATAAAATTGGAGGGGAAGGTTAATTCAGTATACTGACTCCTTGTTGCTGATTTGCTTGCAGAATCTCGGACACAGAAACTGCTAAACAGAGAGCCTGGCTCAAGTCTGTGTCATCATCTTTGAGGCCCAGCAGGCTGCTGCCAAAAAGACTGTGGTTGTCCTAGTAAGGCAAGGAAAAAAAATTAACTGAAGCCATTGTCTTTATGTGTGAAAGTTTAAAATAAAACTATATCTACTAAGTTACAAATACTAAGTTCCACACATGCATATTCTGTCTACATAGTAATGAAACTTTTGATCATCTGAAATTCTTTCTGAAAATCACAGCAAGGTATGCACTTCCATTACAAACACGCTTGTTCACCATTTTGACCATGCCAACGTGATGCACTGCCGCTGGTATTTTAGTTGTTTTTGTTTTTTCCCCACAAAAAAACAACCCATACCTGTCTACACACATCAGAGGAAGTACGTACAAGCCGAGGGCAATGGCTGTCAAATACTTTTATTTCATTAATTCACTAAGTCAGATATCAGGAGTAAAGAAGAGATGCAAAAACAGTGCAGATGATAATAGATTTATCTATAGTAAGAGATTCTTTCCTCTTTGTTATTGCAAATACAGCTAGCACTGCTGTGCAGTGCACTACAATTCAATTGTGTCAATATGAATTTTAGCTTCATCAGCTCTTACAAGAACCTCCTTTGGAAAATGAGGTGATCAGTCATGAAGTGAGAATATTACAAAGAAGCTTTTCTTTAAAATGTTTCACTTAACCTTATCTTTCAAAGATCCTAACAGTAAATATCACTAGGGTAACAGCATGAAAAAATTGTTTAAAAAAAGAGTATCACAATGAAATATTCTAAGTTACTGTCAGCAGGAGCTTAAACACTTGCCAAAAAGAAGAGAATTTAAAAATTACTGTTATTACCTTTCTGAAGGAAGCTGGAGTTTTGCTACAGTAATATTGTGCCAAAGAGAAGAGATCTTCTATATCCTCTAAATCGAGATTGGCTGGTGATGTTTCTAAGAATTCTGAGACAGACAAACAACATAAATGCAACACTATTTCAGACACAGAAATCAAGCAACCTAGATCATAAAATAACTTATTTTTAATAAGGCATAACAATCTAGTATATTGATTAAACATTAATATTGATCCACTCTCCAGATGAAAAGTGAAGATACAGGAAATACTCCTTATCCATAGAAAATGTACGCTTTTTTGATAGATGTTCAAACCTTCTATGCAAATTATTTTTCACCATATGCTTACTTCTGTATAGTTTTAGCTTTCAGTACTTATTCTAAGTCAGCTATTTTTCTAGAGCTCTGACCACAAGAATCCTTTAAAATGAGTACTTAATCAGTACCACTGTTCTCTGCCCAAGATAACACAAGGGTGTAGTTCTGCATTATATGACAAAGACACAAAACTCCAAGCACTCTCATTTTGAACGACTAGAGATTATTAATTACATGGTATTATGTATGTAAAAAAAATACAAAGGCAAGAGTTTTTAAAATTTTCCACTGAAATTTAATTCTTTTTCTATAAAAACAATGAATTAGGTACAAATCAAGTATGCATGAAGACAATCCAGAAAATGCAACAAGTGCAGTAGATTTAAAGAAGGATTTGACAGCTGTTGCTTTGGGCTTAGAAAACCCAGTTTCTGGTGATTGTTTCCAGTACTTCAAACTGAAGTCTGAAACTAGGTGTAGGAGTACTAAAAGGAATAAGGAAAGAAGGTCAAGGACAGGGCAGCAAAAGAACAGTAAGAAAGGAATTAGTGGGTGAAAGGATTACTTAATGAGAAAAATCACATAGAAATAATCTAGCTATTTAGCAACAAAAAACAGTAATAAATGTGCATTATAGTATATAGTAAATAGTTCACTAGCAGCTATGTAAAAAAGTACTTACTTATCATTTCTTCTTTATCTGATTCTTGTGCTAAGATAACGTCTCTGAAAACAGTAAAGTCACAGGCATAGATTAAGTCAGTAAAACCAAAATGAAACAAACCTGGATTAAAACAGTGTCAGCAAAGAACGTCCCAAAGAATGAACTAAACACTTACTTTGCATTGACAAGGATGATCAACATTAAGAAGTAAATAAAGAATGGATCTGCTTGTTGTAGATATCCATCCCATATTGCCTGAGTGACTTCAGCTGAACAGTAATATGAGAAGAGGCTTCCAAGCTAAAAATTTGGAAAATAATGTTAGAAAAAGCAATTAGCAGCAACAAACTTATCAGGGAATACATTTTTAACAGAAATATAAGATATCTAAAAGAAAATAAACTCAACAAACTTATGATAAAGCCTACATCTGCACAGAGTACTGAAGGTTGGTTCTAATCACTAAACCAATTTTTATGGAAATAGTGCACAACACTACAGATTATCTGTGAATAAATATAACTAACTACTGTGAAAGCAAATTTGGCTGTACACTGCCAGCCTTGCAAATTCAATCACAGATAACACAATCAAGCTGCAGTACTGTTTAGCTCACAGCCACTGCTAAACACCAATTATACCAACAAGACAATCATAAGAGAATATATTTACTCAAATACCATAGCAATTAGGGCTTTGAAAATATCTTGCAAACATAATTATTTTTATTCCCCACAGTAGAATTGGGCTCATTTAACATGGTTGCACATTAGTTTGACATCATTTACTTAGCATTACATTATGATGCTTTATAACTGAGTAATTAAACATTTGCAAGCATCAGAAAATTTTCATTACCATTTAGGAAACACTTTGCCTGCTCCCATGCTCCCAGTTTGAAAATATACCCTCTCTGATACACAAAGTTCAAAGCAGATAAAAGGTAGGAGCTTCTTACCATACATGCCAGAAAACATTTATAATCACATCTAACTCAAATGCATACCCACCTGACTTCACTGGGGTCTTACTGAACTCACTGATGCACACAAATTCTTTATCAACACAGCCATAGCTTTCTAAAGCTTAGTATCTGTTTTAAAACATCATGGAATATTTCAATGCTTCCTAGTACGGTTTTATAGCAAAAGATAAAAAAATCTATTCAACTCTGACTCAAATGCAACTGAAGACAAAACGTCCATATTGTCACAAGATGACAATGGCAGGTCCCTGTATGCTGCTTATATATTTCTAAGTATTAGTGATACACCTATATAGACTGAGATTTTTCACAGACGATGCATGGAATTTTACTGTAATCTCATGATACAAAATGAAACCTAAGATTTTTTCCTAAAACTGTACACCAGGAGGCATGGTGTTGAGGACTAGTAGCTACACCAGCTTATTTCACTACTGCCTTTCAGAGAGAAGATTCTTTTTCTAATTAGGTTCCAAAATTCTAATAAACAACTCCTAAGAATTTTGTATTTACTAAGGAAAATTCTATTTAAAAATGGAAATGTAGTGGCAAAAAAAGACCTCATTTCTCTTTTGAAGGCTCATGAGACTGGCACAAGGCAGATTTTGGGAATATGAAAATTTTTCCTAGATACATTTTTATACTAAAATTGGCAGCAGCCTCAAAAAACCAAAAACAACAAAAACCCATCCAAATACAGATCTCATAGTTTAATAATTAATTTTATTCTTCTTTAACTGAAAATACACAACGTTGAAAAAAATTTTACGTAGCCAATGAGTATGAAAGAAGAACCTAGAAGAGTTCATGGGTCAAAGCCTTCTGTATTAAATTACAGACTTTGCCTACGTAAGCACAGTATCATGATTTGGTATTGCATATACAAAGTAGCATTGAAACAAAAATGTTGTCGTAGTCCTGCCACACAAACTTTATAAAAAATGGCTGAGGTAAGCATCTTTGTAACTACCCACAATCTGAGGCAGTTTTGAAGAGGAAATGACTAATGCTTTAAAAGTTGTAAAATACATGTGCCTAAATTCAAAAAGACATACATATATGTCTTAGCAGGGAGGTTTTTAAAACAATTCATACTTCAGTGAATTCCTACTTCATACTTAAAAGACCTGTCAGACTGATTTTTACCCGTATCTACAACATAAAGCTGCCCACAATCAAAACAAACATCAGGGCTTTTGCTTTTTGAGTATGTCAGCTGCTTTCATTCTTCCTTATGCCAAGAAATTCCTAAGATCAGTGGCTCAATAAGGACTCACCCAGTAGAATAAAAATGTGGCATTAACAATACCTCATACCTCCTGCTAAACACTAAAGACAAAAAGCCCACCCCATATTAAAACATACAATTTATTTTAATATACACAATTCTAATTACTTGTACTACTCTTCCATAAACTGGCAACACGTACTTAAATTTTAACAGAAATTTATTTTTCATTATGTTTCCCTACTTTCACTTTATTACCCAGTTGAGTGCATATGAATCTGGAGTCATCTTCTTGGTATCAAGAAACGAGCAGAGTTCAGGCTCATGGTACTGAAGCAACAGTCTAAATAGATGAAAGGGTCTTCCCTTCATAAAACAATCCCTAAAAAGTAGCAATGAAAATAATAAACTTCCCTGTAATATTACAATTTTCAGACTTACAGTAGCAATTCTTTACTATCTGTGATTATGTAATTTCCTGCACATTGCTCTTTTAATTCACAGGGACTGATTATGAACTCTAATAAGGCAGCAGAATGAAATACTGTCAATACTTCACAGATTATATAATACAGAAGTGTTTAAAATAGACTTAAATCTCAAAACAAGGCAAGCATGGTATTAATGGAGCAGAGATATGCTGATCTACTATAAATTGCCTGTCTTTCATTCTCCCACTCAAGAGAAAAGAAACAATCTTCATCCCATTGAAACACCACCTAGATTCCTACAAAGAAGCTCAAATACCAGATAACTCTGCAAGCCGCCTAGAGCTGAAAGCAAATGAGTTACATGATCATAACACCACTATCCCCAAACAGCTCACAGAGTGTTTCAGAGCAGAAAGGGACACGAGCTGAGTCAAGTGACAGAATCGAGAAATGCTTCCTGCCACAACAGCAAACATATATTTTACATATTTTGGACACAAATCCATCAGCCAGGCTGGAATCTCCTCTCCAGGCAATCAAAGTAAGATCTTTAACTACAGACTATCCAGCCTTGCTGAAGCGTCGTGGTGCTCCAACTTACATAAAAACTTATTTTAGTGAGAGCACCTGCATAACAGCATGAAAAGGTCAAATTTAGTATTTGTCATTAAAAATATCTAGCAAATTAAAAAAATTAATTTCAGTCCCACCTCAATACAACATATGGAAAATATAAAAATATAAACTACTTCTACAGAGATTTTGAGACTTAATTAGTGCTTATGAATTACTCTTTCTGAAGGGATAGAAGTATTTTAGATCCCAAAAATGCCAGGGAAGGGAACAAAAAGCCACTGTCACATAACCTATGTGAATTAGTTCGTAAAAAATGTTTTTGATATTGCATGAAAGGATAGTTCTTTAAAAGGCATATTGAGTCTAGATCAGTCACACACTGACTCTTTGCCACCAACCCAATAATCTCCTGGATTTCAAACCAACAGATACTGAAATTTATGATCATATGAAAGAATCTGACAACATGGCTACAAACAGTGCTACTCTAGCCAAAATCTACATGCACATCTTTCAGAGAAACCTGCTACTGCCAATAAAAATAGTACATAAGGAAAAGAAAGAGTTTTACCTTGGAATGAATTTATTCATGATAGCATAGAAGCAGTTGTACAAATCACTGCGAGGCAAATGAAGGTGCACCAGAGGTTTGAGGAGATGTATCCAGCCGAGGCAAGAACTGTATTTAACATTGCGTGATTTACAATAAAAAGTAATAACAGACTCAATATCCAAAATTAATACTGACTTCTCTTCTTCTGGCACCGACAACTGGTCTGAAATAGGCACAGGAATATAAACTGTGTTAAAGGCTTTTCAAAGAAATTGAATGACATTATGTCATAGCACAATTGTACGAACAGGGACTGAGCAGGGAAAAAAAAACCCAACAAAACCAGACAAACAAAAAGCTGGCTATTTGGATTAAATTCTTATAGAAAGGTATCAAAGTACAAGTGATTTTATAAACCTAGTAGGATAAGACACTTAAATATCATTTAAATATTGCAATGACAGGATGAAAGAAGTTTGAGGTTTCCAGGATCTATATGAAAGAAGGAGGTAGATTCTTTCAATGCACAGAAAGCTCCTCTTCTACTCCTATTTGATGTGCTTAGCACACAACTTAGGCTCAACTCTACAACAAAATTCATTTGAATTTCAACATACATCAACCCACAATGTATACCTTCAATTCCTCAAAAGCTGATTGACATGCAAATTTATCCAAATCAGAAGTTTGAGATCAGCTAGGCTTACAGACTTAAATTTTAGCATTAACTTATAAATCACATTTTTTTATGTCCAGGATGGGGGAAAGAGGTCTGTACACTATACATTAAGATAGTGGCATTAAATTTCTAGGAAGCATCTTTCCCCTTCAGTTACAAGAAGACCATGAGTCTCATTACTGTTGATAATTTTTTTATTACAAAAGTCTTTAACACTTTCCCATCAAAGCCAGTCAATATTTGGCATTCCTTTTCTCTACCTCTCAGAAAAATGAAAAAGTACATAAAACTCACATGGAACTGAGGATATACTTAAAATTGGGAGACTACTTGCTTTGCTAAAACATTGAAATAGAGACACTTAATCCAAGAAAAAACTGAAGTCTCCAAATAACCTTCTTTCTGAAGTAACTATATATTTGTTCCCTTTATCAGTTTAAATCCTTACATATCACAAAATATTTGCCAATAAATACAAAAAGAGAACTATCAGCAACTGAAGTGCTTAATTTGGTATGTTCTGAATATAATCAGGACATTTTGCATCTTCCTGAAGAGAGACTGTGATAAATAAGAGAGTGGAAATTCCACCCTCATCTCTTTCCTTTACAGGACAGAGAGAAGGAAAATAAGTCCTACTAGATTTTAGGGCTAGAAAGTGTAGAACTGCATTTCAGAAAAAGTAGGTATGTATACATGCACAAACTCCATCCTCTGCCTTAACTTTCAATTGCACAAAAATAAATAAAGTGATAGGTAATAAAATAAAAGATTTTCTTAATGAAATTGTGATTTATGAGTCAGCATTGATTCCATCAAGTGATCACTGATATCAATGCTGTTGCATCATGTCAGGGGTTTGACCAGTTCTGTGATGAGCTGCCAAGCAGATCCTGTGGCAGCTCCTTGAAGACATATCAGAGTATTATTTCCTTTGTCCTGGCAGCACCTTGCTTGCACAAACACAGCCTTTCATTTCCACTAAAAATGCTATTAAAAAGTATCTTTCTTTTAAAAAGGTTTTGAAGTCCAAAATGTTTAATATATTTCTTCTCTCAAAAGTTATACGCATTTTTGTGCTACAGCAGGTTTTCAGAAGAACCAGGCCTTCCACAATGAATAACTTGAAGGACATATACAAAGAATGTCTGCTTTAAAACATGGAGCTTGGAAAACAATTACCATTTTTTCATCTCACAAAGCTTTCTGACTATGCAAACTATCACTTACAAGCTAATACTATAAACTCCCATGATGTCACTCCGCCCAGAGTCTGTGTACAGGTAAGACACTATTGCTTTCTTACAGTTTCTTACTGATTTTTATCTGCTCTTTTATCTTCCTCCTCAAAGCTTCCTCTAAAACATCAACATCATTCAGATCATTTGATTGAAATGAAGTCTTAAGACAATTGAGAATACAGAACTTTTCAAACCGATGATCTAAATGTAACATGACTTACCAATTAGCTCTTGGCAATCTTTGTGAATTATACTCTGCTCAGGTAGGTCTAAGGAGCCATCCCAGGATGCTAGGCTGTCCCCCTTTCCTACAACATTAAGTGCAATCTGAAAACAAAAACAGATAGCCCTCTAAACATTTTAGTGTCTTTTTGCAGATGTTCAATTATGGAATTCAGTAATTAAAAAAAAAAAAAAAAAGAACTATTCTTAAACTGAATCAATATAGATGCATATTAGAATTCCAGTAGTACATCTCTTCTGTAGAGATGCCTAGCAATTAAATCTTTTACCTCAAGTGAAACACAACTTCAAGTATTTCCTGCTTCTTGATTTAAGCTCATATTTACCTTCCAGACTTTGGCCCTTAAATCAGCAGGCAATTGCCTTCCTTGAACGATGTTTCTCACAGTTTCGAGATCACAGCCTCCTTCTTCTAGAGCGTCTGCAAGATCCTTTATCCTAAAATAATGAAATATCATTTAAAAAATCAATTCTACGATTTTTCAATGTTTATGTAGACTGAAGGCTACTGTCAAGCAAATCCCACACATATGCAAAAGTATAAGACAACTTGGAAATTACTAAAAAGAAATACTTGCAAAATGTTATGCCTCTGCTTTAAAGCTGCTTGTTCAACTCGTAAGTCCATTCATCTTACATACAAGAAAAATGAAGTTTGCTTTTTTGTTTTCATTAAGTGACAAGGTTGCAAAATGTATAATAAAAATGCAAATTCAGTTGCAGTTTACAACTTTCAATTTCGGCAAGTTTTCACACACGCACACACAAAGCAAACATTACACCTAAATTAGACGGTGGAGTTATTTTAAATAAATATTAGATGTCCTAGAAAACAGAACACTTATTTCAAAGGTTTAGAACAGTCAGCTTTTAACCTCACCTTTCCCTGCAATGGGAAAAGACCTTTTAGTCAAACTCTAATTTATTTAACTATACAGTTCTAGTATTTTAAGTGTGGACATATGCACAAGTCTGAATTAAAACATACAAAAATGTTAATAACATAGTAGCAAAATACACAAATTGAGTAGAAGAACATTAATGACGGTTGCTGCAGTAAGACAACAAAAGTTCACAAGCATTATAGATAAGAATGAATTCAGCATTCAGGAATTCTTTATTCTTAATTCAGGATTACTTTACAATCTCTCTGATAGCTTCTGCAGACTGGTTCAATGTTTCCATGCTGTAAGTAATGGGAGAACCACATCTGATGATTTCAGGATTTCAGGATCATGTAGCAGAGCAGTGGCAAAACAGGATCACTGGAAAAATAGCAATGGCAGTGACACATAGGTCCTGTAGGCAAAACTCCCTTGCTATATCCTCTTAACCCTTTTCTACTTGCTCTGGTATCTGCCTTAAGAAAGGCTTTGCTTCAGATACATGGTGAGTTAAACACACATCCAGGGGGTTTATAGCCAGAGCAAAACAAAGAACATGATCCAGGATAGATATTCATTTGGGAAGATGCATTCCTGGTGAATAACCCCAGGAATTTATACTCTATTTATACACATGGAGTAACAGATGTTAAAGTCTTTTGAGCAGAATCCTCAATTACTCCATGACTATGATGTAGTCAGCTCAAATAGCCACAGAATAAGAATGTCAGCTGTTGAACTCTTATCTACTTTATCTTCCATATATCCACAACTAATCCCTTGATATAAAAGTTCACAAGTTTGGTCTCCTGAAAATTTCAAACACACATTTCTGATTTTCTAAATAACATCCTTTAGGACAAATAGATTAAAATCTCAGATCTCAGGATACCTCATACCTCAGGAAGCAGGTATACAGATATTTAACTAGTTTTACTCAAGACATCTCGAAGCAAATACAGGTCTGAAGAGTAAGCTTTTTCCTTGCATTGTATCAGCCAGTTTCTTTGTCACTACTTTTTGGTTTGCATTTTAAATCATATTTCAAATATACACTGGGGCACAACTCTATTTTCTTCAAGTAATTTTGCAAATCTGGATGAGAGAATGCATAGATTACAAAGAGACTGATTTGCCTTATTTTCTCATAAATTTAGTATTAATAAAAAAATAAAAAAAATCTCAACATCTGTTTTGTATAGGGCTACAGGTTGCACAGGTTGCCAATCCCTTTCCCGAGACAGAAACTGAAGGGAAAGCAGAATATGAAAACACATTTGCACTTCCATCACCTATCCTGTTGTCCAGTTGTGTACACAATAGTCAATGCCTGAAAAGTTAAATGAATGGATCAGTTAGCCTTGAATAAAAATGACGTATTTCCAGGTGTCCTGCGGTACAACGCAAAAATGTGTATTCTATCACCATCTGTTAAAATGTGGGAGGGGTGGTGATCCTTATCTCTGTGGGAGATATCTTCTGCTGATGTGCCATCTGACAAAATCAGGGGGATGATCATCGTTATCTTTTCACAACCCATCCTTCCTCCAGAAGATGTATTCCGTTAATGGGCCATTAAGTCCTATTGTGTGACTGATAAGATTACATCATCGCATTGGGAGATGCCCCAGCCAGGGGCAGGAGCCAAGCTTTTCCTACCTAGATAAAAAACTGGGGTTTGGGACGCGAAGGCAGTCCTTTCCACTGGATCCCAGAGGAAAGTCGGACCTTTTCCACATCATCGCTGGACCTTCGGAGGAAAACTGCACCTTCTCTAGGAGCACTGCTTCAACTGAACCACATCTGTCATCCAGGAGGACTGCAGCCACCATTTATACGGACTGCTACCAACACCCTGACTGACAGGGTGTCAGGTTGTATTCTGACTCTGTCGGTGGTTTTTCTTTTATATTATTGCATGTATTTTAATTTTTTTTCTCTTTTTTTCCTATTAAATTGTATTACTGACTTGAAGTCTCGCACTGGTTTTGCTTTCAAACCAACACACCAGGACATTTACACAAAGAGACCTCCTAGCTCAGCAGAACTGCATGAACTCTAGGATGATCTAGCTTCAACAGAAGCCAAAATCAAACATCAGCTGCAGAGAATGAGGTGCTCTTAGACACACTGCACGTGTCTGTGAACACTGTGTATGAAAAACAGACTAGAGTAACAGTCAGGCCTTGAATTACAGCACACAAAATACAACCAGTTGCTACAACTATATCCAAGTATAAACAGGTATGTGGAAATGAATGCAACAGCTGTGTACATGTTCCATTTCAAGCAGAAATTCTATGTCACCCAAAGAAACTCTTTTGAGAATAAAAAAGTAATTTTTACTTGAAACAACACTTAAAACTACATCATCACTAATTACAGAATCACCTGGCAAAGAATGTTTCACAAACCCACAAGTACTAATTCTACCAGTTACTAGTATCCAGCATTCAAGAAGCTGTGCATAGATCAACACCATCTTAAGTGTTATCTGCAAATGTGTGCTTCTGCTGCGTGACAATATATTACCATTTACAAAAACTTCCAAGTACTGTCACCCCCATTATCTACACTATAAAGATGAGAGGCAAATGTCAGTTTTACTACTTCATCTCACAAAGCAAGACACTGACATGCCCATCTGTCACATGAAGAGATGTGATGCATTACCAACAAGGAGTTAAATGAAATACCAGCAGGGAGGAAAAATGCTTTGTTCTGCTGTGATTCAATTACGTGCTCATTTCCTCTATCAACTGCAAGATTGCTCACAGGCTGTAAGTAAGGACTTTTCAAAGATTAAGTAAATTTTTTTCTAGTAAACTTTCTAGTCGGGCTAACTAGCAAAGTACAAAACATGAAAGTGATTTCAACACTTTAACACATGTCCAGTCACTATGTTTTACCTTATTTCTGTCAGTTGTTCTCTAAATATTCCAGAAAACTCGTAGCAATCTGGATCCTTGTCTTTCATGAGTGAAGAGCAGTTAGGAAGTCTTCTGTTCACAGGGACAATTATTACACTTATTTTGAACAGAAAGCAGCACTTCTCCCTGTGGGCAAACTCCTCCAGACCTGAACAACTGTACTTTCTGCTCTGCCATGGCTTCACTGCCTGTTTCTATGTGCCACTCAAAATTTTGGTTAGATGTGCAGAATTCCAGCCTACACCCAAGCCACGGCCTGAAAGATAAATTCCCACACGATACATTGTTCAAAATGTCATAATACAAAATGTTCCTATTAGTGTATCTGCAGTAAATTCCCATACTTACAGAAGGATCTCTTACATTCATGCCAGTCTGGTGACATACCATAATCAATAAGTAACTATCTTCACAAATACTAAACAGGACCTTTTGTGACTTAAGATGTGTAAACTGGTGGCAAGAAAAATTGATCAGCTGTAGGGAATTCAGCTTAAGCCACTTTCTAAGTATTATTTATATATGACTGAGATACCTGGTAATAATCATTCATAAATACTAGTGGAGGGATTAAAAGTGTTGGAATGTGAACAGCAGAGAAAAGATAATAGTAAGTGATCAATAAACTACATAAAGCGTTAAGAATACTACAATCAATTTCATACATTTATAGAAGCTATTACTACAATTCCTACTTTTAATTCAGGATTTTCCTGACTACCAGGAATAAGCCTCAACAAGAGCTATATTGAATAGAAATTAATGAGTGTTTGTTCTCCATTGAAAACAAACAAAAGCAAACCCCTCACACTTGCTTCAAGATATCCATTGTATCCAGTATACCACAAAAACATATTTTATTTCTCCAACAGAATTTTGGAGAAAAACAATTCCCTGATATTTTTTCTTCAATTTCATGCTTAACTGGAAAGGACTTTTCTATTCATGGACTTTCAGAAGAAATACTATGTCTCCAAGTACTAATTAGCCGGATTGTGAGAATGTGAAAAATATATGGGAACTAGATTTGTCATCCTGTTGTCTTTAGCAGTTGCAGTGCATTTTGGGACCCATGAGTTATTTCAATGCAAAGTTAAATGCACAGGAACAATTCCATCTGTGGTTATGATTATATTTAGTTACTTCAGGTCCTGATTTCCCAAGTATAGATCTTAAAAATTACTACTCGATCAAGTTTCCTGAAGCTTGAGTATTAAACAAACATTTGCAAAAATGGTTTTAGAAATTATTTCATATCCTGAAATAATTAATTTCTGTTTGAAAATCTGAACAAGAAAAATAAGGTTCAAACCAGCAGTTTCCTTGATAAATAAGGCAAGAAAAATCTATAATTTTCAATTACAAACATTTTAACTAATCACAGGCCATCTTATTTGTGTCTATACAGTCTACTGACTAGATGTATTGCCCTGACTGAAATTATGATTAAAGTAAAGAAATAAGTAGGCAAAAAAAAAAATTTTACATCAGTTTGAAAGCAGCCTGCCTCCTTTGTATTTCACAGCATTCTTAGCTTTGGGCAGATATGTTTTCCACAACAGTGCTAGCAATTTCTCAAATTAGCTTTTGAGTATATGCCAAATAGCTCAAAAGAAACATTTAGCAATTGAGGTCTATGATTTAAAAATTATTTTGTTCATTTTTAAATCAAAAGTGATGACAACAACTTCCTGTATTTAGTGAAGGAAAAGAAGTTACACTCCCATCTTTCTCGATACATAAGTTTGGGGTGGTGGTGATCCTGGGTTTTCTTTTTAATTTTATTTTCTTGTGCAGAGGAGAAGTTCCCTGGTTTTTGTTGAGCAAAACACCAAGCTGTTAGTACAGATGTTGAGGGGTTTAATTAATAATTAGTTTGTGACACTTTCCCCCCACCCAAGTCACTTATACTAGTACCGCATGACAAGTTAACACAGGGAAAACAAACAGGGAATTTTACGTTGGTGAGCACATCTGGATTCTACACATTCAAGGTGCTGCAGCAGCCTCTGAACACAAAATTCCACCTGCCTTTTAATCCTCCTAAGGAAGTGAAGAGAGGACATGGAATCAACACTGCCAGTTTTGCTCCCAGTTAAGCTCAGGCATATGTATGTATCACTATACGCATTATATGTTAGGGTACTTTTTAAAGTTGAAATCCTGTATATTTCAAAATAAGATAGTGTAGTAATTTACACCAAAAAGCTCTTCCAACATCTGCTCACAGCATTAAAATATGAATACAAGACAATGCTTTAAATCCATAAATGAAAAAGCAAATACACCACTGAAATTGGCTTTTAAACAAAAAACAAAACAGGAAAACAAGCCCAAAAAGCTGCGTGAAGCTTCTAAGCAAGCACTAAGGAATGCAAATTTGTCATTCACAGATCTAGTAACAGGATGCACTGTCACATATTATTGTAGCATTTAAGCGTAAAACTCTTTTAATTGTTCCCACAAAGACTTAAATCTGTTTTAACAAACGCCTTCAAGTTTGCATTTTCTAGAACCATCAGCATCAGCAAAACTATAGTTTTGAATCTGCCAATCAGAATATCAACAATGCAGCCTGTGACCTGAAATGTGTCTGGAAACACACTCATCTTCATCCTTAACAGAAATTCTAGAGAAGTTTGTTGTGATCTGGGAGACAGCAACATTATTCCAATATTAGTAATGGAAGTCATCTGAAGTATTTTTTTCCAGAGGTATTTGAGGTATGGCTCTTATTCAATGTCCAGGGTTATATTTCAAAGTGTCAAGAGTACACTGTCAGTGAGTCCATCTCTCGCCTTGTAATTATATGGCCCAACAGTCAGGTCTTTATTTAGAAATAATGCTTATGCAACACTGTGCTTATAGAAAGAGCTTCCTAAATGTTGAGGCTGTAACTACAGGAAAAAAAAAAAAAACAAGAATAAAAAATTACACCAAATAACTTTCATCTTCTAGTTAATGATACCAAGAGGTGTATTTTTAGAACCAACCTAGACAAAGAAGAGGTTCCACCTACACCTGTGTGTGTGTTGTGGCTTCTTTGCAGTGAGATAACTAAGCACAAAGAAGGCTAGGCACAGTCTGCAGGAAACTTTGAATTTGTCACATCAAATAGAGCCTAAAAGCAAAAACATCAGATTGGAAGTGATCATAAAAAGCAGGCCTGTAACGTAACTGCTCAAAAAGCATATACATGGAAAGGACAAGAGCAATGGTGTGGCACAGAGCCACAGAAAGAAATCACATGCAATGCATAAGTGCAAAGACAAAAACAAAGTGAAGACGCAAATGGAGATGTTGGGTGCAGTGAGAATAGCTTCAGTGTTTAAACATAATGTTTATTTAAGCCTTGGCATTCTTGAGTGAATACACATGCAACAAATACTAAAATCACATCACTGTTACCATCAAAATGATCCTATACA